TATGGAAGATACGGATATTGAACCTTTTGGGAATTTAGACAAGGGCTATAATGAAAAACAGAGTTTTGGCTAAATTAGCAGTAAATGCTGTAATCACAGAGATACCAGACGATGAAGATGATGACCCATTAGAACAGGCACTTCAGATCGACCATCTACAGGTGAAAGCAGGTCAGGATCCGACATTCACTGAGGCTCGCTTTCAGAAATTATCGAAAAATTAAAGGTGGATTTTTAGGTATTATCTAGAAGCCAGAGGAAAGATGGAGAAAAGGTTGTGTGAGACTTTTAGGTAGCCTTTAATTTGAAGGAGGAGCCACTTGGGAAAACAAACTTGGTTACTCATCGAACAGATAGAGTAAATGGGGAATGGGTTTATTATTCCACCCATGTTTATTCCCTATGCGGTACGACCAGCCGTGGAGGCAGAGGTCCAAGCCTTGATGGACCAAAGTTATATAAGGGTCAGTTCGTTGGAATGGAATGCTCCAATTGTCTTAGTGAAGAAGAAAGATAATTCACATCCAAAGTTGTGTATTGACTCCCGGTATCTCAATTCTAAAACGAGACCGGAGTTTTATCTCTTGCTACTGATTGAAGATACCTTGTATCAAGTTAGTCCAACTAAGAGTTTTTCCACACAAGATTCAAGAAGTGGATATCACCAGGTGCCATTAGAGGAGGGGTTCTTAGGAGAGATCGGGATTTTCTACCCTCCAAGGACAGTATGAATATAATGTGATGCCTTTTGGATTGTCTAACGCCCCAAAGACTTGTGAACAATGTTTTCAGTGGTCAAATAGGAAAGGGATTGCAACAATTTTTGGATGTTGAAATCCGGGAAATAGAACATCTTGTGAATTATCCCAGACCAGTTGGCGAAGAAACTGAATTGCCTAAACTAACGGAAGCTCAAACTTCAAGTGAAGAGGAAGAGGGACAGGATGTGATTGTAGATAATAATTTCAATAATGAGTCTTTTTTCTGGAATTGCCAATGATCTTTGTAATATGAGACTAGATAACACAAACTTTACAAATTTCCACAATACTTCTGCAGATAACACTGGGGGCGAGAGCAGAATGAATGAATCTCATGGGAGGAATGTTACTTCTGGGCATGCCGGTAGGGAACTTGTGCATGGGAGACGTACTAGTAGACATACATATGGACCAGGGGATTGTGCATGGTTGCATGCGGGACCATGCTTGGACTAAGTATATGTAGACGTGATCACACATGATCACATCACACACACCAACACCTATTTTATATAAAATTTTGTTGGAGGAGGATGTAGGGGTCACCAACATGGAATTAAGTTTTATGCTTCTTGCAGATAATGAACCATGTTGAAAGGGATGTGCATGCTGATACTGGAGGCCTGCCTGTGGATGGTTTGTCAGGCAGAGGGCATTTCACCTCCTTATCCGCCAGGTAGTAGCCTTGATTAGAAGAGAGGAGGTCCTCACCGACAACATCCACAGAAGTTGTGCAATATCAGGATCTACAATCAATTATTGAGACTCTGGAACGGCTCAAGACGTCGCTAGAAGTGATATCTACTGTCAAGGGAAAGAAAAACGCTTCAACTCTAGAAGCATGGGTGCATGTAGTAGGACATAAATTGGTGTGATAACTAGAGGTTTCAGAGAAGTCTGAAATGGGGTTCGGGAGAGCCAATATTGTAAAAATTGAGTGAAAAGAGGTTATAGATTTTAGCAATAGAATGCTCGAAGGGTGCATGAGGTCAAGGGAATTTATTTTGCACCCCAGAGCTTTAACATCACCGATCAGTTAGATCGAGTCGTGTGTATGTTGGAAGGACTTGCCAGGGGAATCAAGGGTATTCCAAAAGAATGCAAGACAATGGGTGAAAGGGTCCACTCCAATCTTTAAGGTTTATAATGATCTAGGTGATCTTCTGTATACCATTAACAAAACTACAAAAGCTCTGAGGGACAGGGTATTTACATCTTTCAGGAATAACAGTATACTACCAACGGGAGAGTAAAATTCTGGATACAACTTCACCTCAGTTCGCACAAATTTCTCGGTTTATAGTAAGGTATTACAAAATGTAATGGAACTCATCTTGTCCAGAGATCTATGGGTAGTTCATGATCATTTTCATCAGTCTAAAGCAAGTTTGGATAAGCTAATGCATCTATTAATGGTATTGTGAAGGCAATTGCCTCCATGGACCAGGATAATGCTGTTCTGTGTGGTCAGACAGATCATCATGTAACTCAGCTTCACATATGGGTTGGTGTAATCTTGACACCTACTTTGATCATTGGCCTTTGTTTTACCTTATATCTCTGGAGCCAGTTAAGGAACAAGAGAGAAAAGAGGTTACCATTGTTAGGGGTAATGGGGTCATTGGTTGGCCCAGCTCTGCAACCTCTCTCCCACTTACCATATGCACATAAGCCTAGGCTGCCTATGTCAACAGATACTACTCTATATAAGTTCAGACAGCATCCTGCTAAGACCGATTGGTGGTTTTCTCTCAAAGTCATAGGTCACCTGAGGACGTGTGATTCCAGAGGGGGAGCATGTCAACGGCCAGACTAATGGTAGTAGTCTTGGAATGGTATTTTATAGGTAATTCTGACCCCAGAAGACCATTATACACAATGGAAATAGTTTTTCAGTGGTTGTATGGTAGATGGAATGGTAGTTCTCGGGAACTCCACATTCCACTGAAGCTACAGTGTGGTGTTGATCCTTTAGTGTTCTATAAGGCACTGTATACACTTTATCTCGGGAACTAAAGGTGATAATCTACAGGCTTTGTAAACAAAGGTGCCACTGTACTGAATGCTGGGTCGGTGGGGTCAAGAGAGGCCTGAGTGCTTGTGTGGCACTCGCACTCAGTACCAACTGTGATTGAACGTGGACAATGAAGCGAACTTATCCTTAGTGTATTTTATCTGTTCTGGTTAAAACTGTACTGAATTCCATGAATGAAGTGACATTGACAAGGGTCTGCACCAATTTATATTCATCAAAGGGAGACATTAGACTTGTCAGGAGACAAGTGACTCAATCTGTATAAGTAAGTAAACCCTATTAAATGTATGAAGTTGTTTCTTGTGTTTACAATAACCATTAGTGGTAATACTGATATAGAGTGGATCTCATTAGAGTGAAAATTTGGATGTATTATTCTTATAACAAACACAGCCCACTCTAGACTGGAACAAAAATCAGTTATTCAGTGGCCTATGCATAAATATATTTGAGGTATATTCAACTTATTATCATCTTTACTCATTGAAATGTCTTGGGTGGTAAGTAGTAGTAGAGCAGCACTCGAAAGGGTGCTAGGGAACAAGGACATGGTGCATAATGCAACTAATCCCATTCTGTAGTTGACAGTCACTGACAGGGAAGACTAGTGTGATCATTCCTTAAAGACAGAAGTCATACAGGACCTGGTCACAATTACATTCACTCTCACAGACAATATTTCTATACTTGACAACACATTCTCAGTAGAGCTAATTCTACGAGAAAACTGCTATAACTCCATGGTGTAGTAAAGGTGGTAAGTCAACAGCTGAGCATATTTTATGGGGTCATGGCAGGGTGCGAGAGGACCTGACACCTGTACTGAGTGGTCACCACAGAAAGGTGCCATTCCAAAACCTCACTCTCTTGTCAGTTTTGCACTTAATTGTTGCACAATGTCATCTTGCTAAGCAGAGTTTAAGTTCAATACTTGCACAGAGGGTAATTTAATAGGATAATAAGAAGACAGCTACAATTTGACTGTAGTCACAAAACCTAAACATTTTGGATTATATACTTTATCATATTCATTATCATTATTATTATTACTATTATTATTATCATCATCTCCATTATTGCTTTTTATCATCATCATTACCATCATTGTCATCTTCGTCTTCGTCCTCTTCTTCCTCCAGATTATTTTTAGTAATGATATTGATAACTTTTATACTATTACTACTAAGATAATGATATCATAATCATTATCATGAACATCCAACAGGTGGATCTTTATGGGTGAACCAGACAGCTTGCAAGGCTCCCTTCATAATCTCCCTTTTGTTGCTCCTGTCAAGGCATCAAACAACCCTTCTCTAATATTTCGGTGTTTGGAGGGTGAGGCATCATGAGTCCTTGTTGATGCCAATGATAAGGCCAAAGTTCAACCAATCAGACCTGAAAAATTACCTCTACTGGGAGAACCCTAAAATCACTGCAAAGCTTCTTTGCGGCAACGGCAACTTCATGGCTTGTCAGCACAGTTGTTGGCACTTTGAAAGATGGCTGGAGTTTCATTCCTTTAATATTCAGAGATTAATGAAACTATGCTTTCATGATGCTTTATATTAAGATTCCTGTCATGATGTAAAACTGGATGTACAAAAATAACAAAAATAACGAGTTTATATGAGAAGAAAATAATAAGGAATATAGAAATACTTATTTTAGGCAATCAAATGTGTATGAATGAATATTTATGAGAAAAGCCAGTGGGGATGTTTCTTCATAATTACATTAATTCACTGTTAATAGAGGGAATATTTCAGTTGCAACATCTAGTTATCATACATTGACTGCTGGGAGTACTCAAGCCCCAAACTATAATTACTATGAAATGGCAACAAATCTGGTAGTTGGTATACAAGGGCTCATAATATACCATCTAGAAAATGTGATAAAAGATAGTTTTCACTTACTGGAAAGAAAGAAAGAAAGAGAAATAAATAAATAAAGAAAGAAAGAATCTACCCACTTATGTAGAAAGGTCTGTGCTACTGCATTGTTCCAGACAAATATATGTCTTATAATTTCTATGTTTCCTTTTCAGTGAAGGAAAGTGTGTATGAATTTAAATCTAGCATAGGACTATAATCAAATATCAGTTTCATCTTCTTATAAAAATATAAGTGTACACCAGGAACGTTGATCATTTATAAATGAAAAAAAATCTCTAACAACGAAAGGACAAAAATATACAGAAC